CAATGGAGGCTGGAGATGCTCAGCATTTTGGAAACACTAAACAGGGCATTAGGTTCCAGGGGGAGGGAAGGTTGTCCTTCCTAGTGGAAACAGAATTGTGGGAAGCATCCCTGAGCTACACTAAAGTTTTTATTTTTCTCCCCAAAAAGTGTCTAGGAAATGTACCCTATTTTTTTCCCCCATTACCAACAGTTTTCTTATCTTCTTACCTTGTTGTGTTCTGTCCCCTACCAGGCTGGCTGGAGACGGTGTCCCAGTGAATATCTGTAAGTCTCTCAAACATATGCAATGACCTGATCTAGGCACAAGTGTGTCTCTGCCCTGAGGAGCCCAGATAAACTGAAACCTTTTCCTTCTCCCTCTTGCAGCCGTGACCAGAACGACTGTGGGAACGGGATACGGAGGAGGAAGCAACCTCAGCATGGGAGGGGGAATCTGCAACCTGGGGAACAGCTTCAGCTGTGGAAGTGGTCCTGGGATGAGCAGCACCACCCTGGGAGGCGGCAGCAGCTCCAGCGTGAAGTTCGTCTCCACCTCCTCCACCAGAAGAAGTTACAGAAGCTAAAAGTCTTCCTTTCAGACACCTCCACCCGCCAGAAAAACACCTTCACACTGGTCTTTTAGTAAAGCGTAGTTGGGGTCAGCAGAATGGCCACCTAAAGCCTATGTCTTGTTGCCCAGGAGCCTCGCTCAAGGAGGTCTCACCCAGCTGTGTTGTCCAGCATCACCTGGTGTCGGGCTCTGCCACGGAACCCCACTCTCCAGCTGGTTTAAATTTGCAACTTGGCTTGTTACAGCTCAGCATTTTTATTTTTTTTTTGGCCGGATTTTGTATATAAAAATGTGTCCCATGACTGTTTGTCTCTCTTCACTTTCTGGTGTTTGTCTAATAAAAATGCACATGTAATTTATTCTATTGTGTGGACCTTTTAATTAAAAGGCACGGAGCAGCAAATGCAAATGCAGATAACAAGCACTTCTCCTAGGGCCCTGCCCAGTTCAAGGCACAGATTTTCGCTCCTCATTCACATATTTCTCCAATCTCTCCAAAACGCACGGGCTCAGGGTAGCACTGGAGGCAGGTTTGCCCTTGATTTTCCGTGTTCTCCTCCTCGTGCAAGCAAAACCCCTGGAAGCTAAAGACGGGGCACGCCAAGGCAGGAGCAGGGCACGGGGGAAAAGGTCTGAGACTCATTTATTACGCAGCTTCCAGCCAACGCAACACACAAGAGCCCAGCTCCCAGGGGGTACAGAGGGCAGTGCCAAGGGTGTGATGTACCCACACAAACTCCTAACAATAGGGAACTAATTACCAGGGGAGTTGGAGCAACCACCCAACTTGTTCCAGTCTATCAGTCCATCTCCGAACCCCGTTTACTGGGAGCTCTCTCGCCTAAATGCAGGTGCCAGCAGAGCAAAATATGCCCAAGCAGGTTGAAAACACTCTCTTTCTGCTCAGAGCACTGGCCAGGCCAGTTTAGGTCTTGGGTCCTGGTGTTGATGTTCCCTCTCTGCCTACAAGCAGGTGGAAGATCTGGTCCATAGGCATTCTGTGAAATGAGATGTTGCTCATCCAACAGCTATAAAAATGATCCAAGAATGGGACACCTGCTGGAAAGTGAAATTCTTCAAGATCCAGTGTTTCTTCACATTCCTAGATTACAGTGGAGACAAGATCTTGCGTTGAGAAGGTGGAGGAGAAACCAGAGGAGGCGTAGCAATTTCAGATGTGGTTCTGACTAATCGGGAGAAATTAATTGAGGAATTCCAGCCAACGCAACACACAAGAGCCCAGCTCCCAGGGGGTACAGAGGGCAGTGCCAAGGGTGTGATGTACCCACACAAACTCCTAACAATAGGGAACTAATTACCAGGGGAGTCGGAGCAACCACCCAACTTGTTCCAGTCTATCAGTCCATCTCCGAACCCCGTTTACTGGGAGCTCTCTCGCCTAAATGCAGGTGCCAGCAGAGCAAAATATGCCCAAGCAGGTTGAAAACACTCTCTTTCTGCTCAGAGCACTGGCCAGGCCAGTTTAGGTGTCTGTCTTGGGTCCTGGTGTTGATGTTCCCTCTCTGCCTACAAGCAGGTGGAAGATCTGGTCCATAGGCATTCTGTGAAATGAGATGTTGCTCATCCAACAGCTATAAAAATGATCCAAGAATGGGACACCTGCTGGAAAGTGAAATTCTTCAAGATCCAGTGTTTCTTCACATTCCTAGATTACAGTGGAGACAAGATCTTGCGTTGAGAAGGTGGAGGAGAAACCAGAGGAGGCGTAGCAATTTCAGATGTGGTTCTGACTAATCGGGAGAAATTAATTGAGGAATAAAAGCAGGGCATCATCTGGCTGAGAGGTACAGAGCGACAGATCTCATTGCTGCGAGAAGATTGTACAAATAGATGGGATTAGAAGTCCCCACCCTCGCACCACGTTTCAGTAAGTTCAAAGAAGAGGAAAATACTCAAAGAGATGGGCAAAAAGAGAGGAACTGGTGGTTCCTGAGAGACAGACTGTATTCAGATTGTCCTTTGAGACCAGTAGTTTCCTATAATTTTCTAGAATGCTCTGAACTCTGCATGTTCCTCTCTCTATCCCTCAGGAAACCTCCTTCCCAAGGACCTGCAGGCTTGGCTATGGGTCTGCTTCAGCTTCTCCACCACCTCTCCCTGATGAGAACTTGCAGCAGATTCCTGGGAAGGAGCAACATCCTCACCCTGAACAGCAGCCCGGGCAGGGTTAAGTAACGGTCTTCCTCATCGCTGGCCAAACACATATCTAACTGGAGAGGACACACCGTGCCAAGAGGCACGTCATATGGACACCATCCATTGCATCAACACCCAGGTCACCACACTAAGACTACACAGCCCTTCATTTAGCATAGGAAAGGCTGGGGCCAGAGCATTTCTTCTCCTGGGACATCCATTTTTTAAGCAAGATACAGAAAAAAACCCTGGTAGAAGTTCTCATTTCCAGAAACATGACCGATGTACAACTCTCCTTGCACCAGAGCAAGGCCCTGGTCACCACCAACGTCACCTTCTGCATCCCATCCTACTGGATGAGTTACGCAGATGAGGGATGACCTGGGGCTTGTGCTCCAGTGGGAGAGGAAAGCCCTCATTAATTCGGGCACAGCCCAGATTAAAACTTTAGTCCTAATGAAACGAACGGCGCTTGCACTCAGGGGCTCGAATTTGCGATGCGCGGAGGGAACTGATTGCTAATTGCTGCCCGTGATGTTTTTACAACGTTCTTTAGGACAGACAGTTGGTGGCTGAGTCACAGAAGCTCCTTTCTCTTCAAAACTGTTGCCTGTTGTAACACACAGTAGCCGAAACACTCCCAGAACAGTTATTTTAGCTTCGTTCCAGGGTGTGTAATGGAAACATTAGAAGAACAGAGAGGAAAATATAAAAGAAAATAAAATAAAAAGCGTGGCTGAAAGGCAAAAAGAGATGACGGGCACCTGCAAATTACCCTCCGGGGACCTTCTGGTCAAACTCACTTGACTGCCCGGCCTCCATGTGTGAAACCAGCACAAGTGCATGCTTAAAAGATGGATCCATGGACATCTGCTCCATGCCCTGGTGCTTTTCTAACGGCTGGGGAAAGCCATGACCCCCCAACCACACTCAGCGGAGGACTGCTCCCTCCTCTGAGGAGCAGATATTCACCTTGGGAATGGGCATCCACAAGAGAGACAACCCAAAGGGTCCGAGAGAAGCATCTCCAGCCCTGGGCAGCCAGACAAGACACTGAGAGTGACTTCCAAGCATCTTACCTGCCCTGGGCTATCACCCGTGTGTACGGCGCTGCCACACAGCACACACGGGGCGAGTGGAGCCAACACTTGTCTTTCACCAGAGAAATGCACTATTTGACTTCTCCTGGGTGCTAAGGAATGAGGGAAAAGGGAGTTGTCTGTGAACGGTGTCGAAAGCACAGACCTCAAGCGCCGCGTTTCCTTGTGAGTAAGAGATATCGGAGGGGAAAGACAAGAGAGGTGGGGAGGGCAGCCTGGGAACCCTGTAGAGACAAGGTCACCCCGTGAGTCAGGAAACAGCCTCAAAAAAACACATCTGTGCAGGTGAAGCCCTGAGAAATCGCCAACTCAGGTTTTGTGCCGTCACGGCCAACGGGAACTCCCTCCCAGCTCAGATTCTGGCATCTCATGGTTTCTGTCAGACTGAATCAGGATGAAATGTAGACCCATCCCAGGGAAAGAAATGGTCTGAAAATACCATTCATAAAACCTTCTTACACAACCCCAACTGGTTTTTGATAGTTGATCCTCTAAGACGTCCATCAACGCCCCATCACCCCCCAAGGCTTTCCCTCCATCACCTCCTTCTCCCCTTTTGTATCACTTTGGGTTTAAATGGCTCTTTGTTTGGGCATGAGAACGAGAGTCCAGACTTTCCGACAAGTTGGGGCCTGAGGTGCTGCTGCCCCGCTGGGCTTTGCTCAAAACCACAGGAGCAGGAAAACATGGACCCGCAACAACGGATTTCTCAGCCCTCGGACCACCACTGCGCAAAATGACGTGCCTTTACGCAACAGAGGGGTTGATTCATCCATGAAATAGGGATGAGCGAGCGCTTGCCCAACACAAGGAACCATCTCCTGCAGAGGTGAAAGGAGGGACGAGCAGGAGTTGAGCAGGCAGTATTTAGTGTTTTTTTCAGATATTTCGACAGCCGGATCATGATGGTCACCACAAAAAAAAAAAAAAAAAAAAAATGCAACTCCTGCACTTTGTAGGTGCTTCAGAGGTGATGGTGCTCATGGTGAACTCACCATCCGTCTGCTGGTGGGTGTGCCGAGCCCAGTTAATCAGTGAGATGAGCACCACGCCAGACCCATCCCCAGCTTCTCAGGGTATAAAAGGGCCGGTCCCAGCCCCGGGGAGCACAACTTCACCTCCCTGATCTTCCCCTGCTCTTCCTCGCTGCTTTAGTCTTCCTACTACCCTCACCCCATCACATCAGCTGCCATGTCTCGCCAGTGTGCTGCCAGGATCCAGTGCAGAACCGGCTTCAGCGCTGCCTCTGCCTTCATCCCAAACGCCAGCAGCACCAGCTTCTGCTCACGTTCTGCATCCCAAGGCGTTGCCACCATTGGGAATGGAAGATTTGGTGGAGGTTTTGGAAGCAGGAGCCTCTACAGTCTTGGTGGATGCAATAGAATCTCCGTGGCAGGAAGGGGTGGTGGCTTCTGTGGACCTGTAGCTTCTGGTGCTGGCACTGGGATCTCCTGTGGGTTTGCTGGTGCAACTGGTGGTGCCTTTGGGTTTGGTGGTGGCATGGGTGGCCCTGGATTCCCTGCTGGGGGCATCCACGAAGTCTCAGTCAACCAGAGCCTTCTGAAACCTCTCAATCTGGAGATTGACCACAGCATCCAGAACATCCGGAAGGAGGAGAAGGAGCAGATTCAGACCCTCAACAACAAATTTGCCTCCTTCATTGACAAGGTGAGACATAAGAAATCTCAGTTACGCTGGGTTGATTCTTCAGGGGGGAAGCACAAGCAAGGGCAAGTTATATCTTTATCAGCAATTTCACTGCTCTTATCCTGCCATTTCTATCAGCATATTTTGGGGTTCTGGGCTTGAGACCATTCACCCCTTACATTGATGCTAAGAAAAGACCAGTGAAAAGGGAGGAAAACGTTGATACAGGATGTAAAGAAGCAGAGTTTGCAGAGAGACCAGGAATGTTAATTAATATTAGATGTGCAATACTTGCTTACCTGTATAAACTGTCAGCTGTTCCCCAAGGGCTGAGAGCTCCCACCTTCCAGCAAGCGAATCCTTGCGGGGTTGCACCTTACCTCCCTTGGAAAACCACCCTAAAAATCACTGCTTTTGAAACATCTCCTTTCTCCACCCAGGTCCGATTCCTTGAACAACAAAACAAGGTCCTGGAGACCAAGTGGGCCCTTCTGCAAGAACAGGGGAACAAAACAGTCAGGAACGACATCGAGCCCCTCTTTGAGACCTACATCAACAACCTCCGGAGACAGCTGAACAGTTTGTTGACCGACAAGGAGAACCTGGGCGGGGAGCTGAACAAGGTGCAAAGTGTCGCTGAGGACTTCAAGAACAGGTAATTTTCTCCATTTGCGTTCTGCCTGGAGAGCCCTGTCGTGTATCTGTGATCAGACAAGGGAAGAAGGGCTTTTTGCTGATATAATCTTCTGAGTAAGGTCCAGGTTAATTTTAATATGAGCCACACTCAGCTACAGTTCACAGTGACTGAAAGTCACGGACAGAAAATTATAGGGCTGAGAGATGAAGGTACAAAACTGTACACACACACACAAAAATAATAAGAGTTTGGTCCCCAAAAGATGAAATAGCTTTTGTACAAACCTAAAGCAACCCTTCATCTCCATTCTGCAGGTATGAAGAGGAGATCAACAAGCACACGGCTGTCGAGAACGAATTCGTGATCCTGAAGAAGGTGGGTCCATGCACACTGCGACTCCCAAGAAAGACATTTTTCAGCTTTTTCTCTGCTTCTCCAAAACCACTTCATTTTTTGTGACCTGTTTCCTCTTCCAGGAGGTGGACGCTGCCTACATGAACAAAACAGAGCTGCAGACCAGGCTGGACTCCCTTGCAGAGGAGATAGATTTCCTCAGAGCCCTCTATGAAGCCGTAAGCACCAGCGTTTACCCCCTTCTCCCAGTTTCCAATGTCCTTCCCTTCCTTTCCCAGTTTAGAGGTTCAGGACTGATGTTTTTCCATTCTGTTGCACTAAATATTTCATTCCTTTTCCCGTTTCACCGAGCTGTATCAACCCTGCCTGAAACTGGCTTGGAAAAGCCACTTTGTCCACCCAGGTGGAACCAGGGTGGGGGTTCCTCCCTCCGAGCAACACCTGTGTCCCAAGCCTTCGACTCACCCAAATACCCACGGCTTTTGCAGGAGCTGTCTCAGATGCAGACCCAGATCTCCGACACCTCTGTCGTCCTCACCATGGACAACAACCGCAGCCTGGACATGGACAGCATCATCGCCGAGGTGAAGGCGCAGTACGAGGACATCGCCAACCGCAGCCGGGCTGAAGCCGAGTCCTGGTACCAGTCCAGGGTGAGTGCCCAGAAAGGTTTCTGCAATGGGAAAACCACACCCCACCTCACAAATCTCCACTGGGTGGTGGGTACCACTGTGATTTTCTAACACAAGATGTGTTGGAGACCCCACCTGGAGTCCTGTGTCCAGGTCTGGAGCCCCCATCACAAGAAAAACATGGAGCTGTTGGAGCTGAGAGGAGGCCCCGGAGATGCTGGGAGGGGGGGAGCCCCTCTGCTGGGACGACAGGCTGAGAGAGTTGGGGGGTTCAGCCTGGAGAAGAGAAGGCTCCAGGGAGACCTTGGAGCCCCTTCCAGTCCCTCAAAGGGGCTCCAGGAAAGATGGGGGGGGGCTCTGGATCAGGGAGGGGGGGCGATGGGATGAGGGGGAAGGGTTTGACACTGAAAGATTGGGAGATTGAGGTGAGATGTGGGGAAGAACTTCTTTGGTGTGAGGGTGGTGAGAGCCTGGCCCAGGTTGGCCAGAGAAGCTGTGGCTGCCCCATCCCTGGAGGGGTTGAAGGCCAGGTTGGAGGGGTCTTTGGGCAACCTGGGCTGGTGGGAGGTGTCCCTGCACAGGGCAGGTGGTGGCACTGGGGGGGCTTTAAGGTCCCTTCCAACCTAAACCATTCTATGACTCTATGATGTCTTCAGATTTAACAATCCTATCAAGTTTGGAAGTGCTAATTTGGGATTGAGAACATACGAATACTTCAGAGGGCAAACACCCACACCCCCACCTTCTGCTCGGCTCCAAAATCAATATATTTTACCTTGACTGGTTGTTCCTCTCCCCGTGACAGTACGAGGAGCTGCAGGCTACAGCCGGCCGGCATGGGGACGACCTCCGCAACACCAAGCAGGAGATCTCCGAGCTCAACCGCCACGTCCAGCGCCTACGCTCTGAGATCGACAGCGTGAAGAAACAGGTAAAGGGCAGCATGAACTCGTTAAGTCTTCACCCTCGCTGTGGTCTAACCTCTTGGTTGTCCACCCAACTCCCGGGAATAAAAAGAAATGCATCTGAGTGGATTCTGCTGGATCAGGAATGAACATGATAGTATCTATCTCAGAGCAATAACATCGCTAAGATTAATTTAAGGAGATGTAAAGAGGAGTTAGATTATATCCAGGTTGTGACCCGGCTCAGAATATGGATCAATTCAATGACTGTTAAGATCACACCTATAGATGTTAACCCAAAGTCTTCTGCATCCGGACCAGGAATCATGGCCTCAGGGTACAAAGAACTGGTCTATGCTCTAGATAAGGGATAAAACCACTATTTTTGCCCCACAGTGCGCCAGTTTGCAGACAGCCATCGCAGATGCCGAGGAGCGCGGGGAGATGGCCATCAAGGACGCCCGGGCAAAACTGGCCGAGCTGGAGACAGCCCTGCAGAAAGCCAAGACAGACCTGGCCCGGCAGCTCCGCGAGTACCAGGAGCTGATGAACGTCAAGCTGGCCCTGGACATCGAGATCGCAACCTACAGGAAGCTGCTGGAGGGCGAGGAGTGCAGGTGGGGGCCGTTTTATACCCCAATTTCCAGAGGTGCAAGGGAATCACAGACCCTCGTCAGGTTTAGACTTCTCACATTCCAAAGACTTGAAACCCATTTAAAGGCAAACAACTGCCCATAATGATGAGTTAATTGGGAAGACAGCAGCCTTTCACAACAAACTTTCCACCAAAAACATCCCAAGGAAATTCTCCTGCCTTTTCAACCAACTTGTGTTCCTGGGTTCCCCTTGAATTCTTACTGGCTCCTTTTGCTCCCCAACAGGCTCTCTGGAGAAGGTGCCACTGCAGTGAATATCTGTAAGTAACTTTTAAAGATTATTTGGTGACTTTTACCCTTGTCTCCCTGCCACGCGGAGCCCACTCTTGGTGGATGCCTCTAAAGAGTGTGTTTTCCTCTCACAGCTGTGACCAGAACCTCTGTGGGGACGGGATATGGAAGTGGGAACTGTCTCAGCTTCGGCGGCAGCAGCGGGGTCGGAGGTGGGGTCTGTGCTGGAGGAATGAGCTTCAGCTCAGGAAGTGGACGAGGTGCAGCCGGGTCGTGCACGGTTGGTGGAAGCAGCTCCAGCACAAAGTACGTCTCCACCACCTCTTCAACCAAGAGATGCTACTGAAGCCAGACACCAAGGTTCCTCTGGCGTTGGGTGCAATCCTTATACCCCGGCACCTGCAAAAGATTTGGAAGTCAAAGGTGCCTGTCCTTATTTATATAAAAGATGCTCCTCTTTGTTCTTTGACTCTTTGAAACCCTCATTTCACAGTATTTGTCTAATAAAAGGCACGTGGAATTGATTCTGTTGCGTCCTCCTTTGAATTCCAACTACTTTCTAGGACCTTGGGGGAAAAAGTGGTTGAGAGAGCAGAGTAGAGCTGGGGGTAAACGAGAGTCACACACACACGAGTCAAGACCTTTCCCTCCTCCCCACTCACTGCAGCTCCACGGACACCTCTTATATCCAACAGGAACCAAGCAGTTGGATGTTCCGTTCCCATTGGTGTGAGTAAAGTTTTTTTAGCATCAGTATCTTCCACAGGATGGGAAAATACCTATTCTTCCCAGGAGGCGCTAGAGAAAGCACCTTTTAGCATAATTTTTTACATTACAGCATCTCAGCACTTTCAGGCCACCTTGATCACGCCCAAATCTCTGTAATCTTTCAAGGTGATGACTCATGTAGGGATCTAAATCTAGTTTTTCCCAAGAAAGCAAGTACTTCAGCTCATGCTGTTCTGTACATGCAGTAGGTGCAGAGGCCAATTAAATGTCGTCACTGCCATTAGCGTAATTAGACATGGAAAAGACCCATTAAACCCCCAAACTCACCCTCTTTGGGAAGAATAATGTCCCCAAACATTGGTTGTGAGGTTGTGAAAGACCCTGAGGGGAAGGAAGGTTTAGTTCCCCTTCTCTGACCTCTGGAACAGTAGAAACAAGAGACATACCCCAAAAGCAGCAGAGCTGAGATTGTCCTGGTTCTGTCTCTGACACAACCTTGTCGAGAGACTGAAGACCTTAGAGGGAAACGTGACACATGTCAAGTGGATGCTGATGCCTGGCCTAAAAAAATGTGATATAACCCCCCCCAACTCTTCACTAATCCTCTAGACCTAAGCACAATAGCACTCTACTGGAAAGGAAACAGCTCGTCCTCTCCACCACCTTCTTTCTCCGGCATCTCTGGAACATATTTCCATGGACACCAGCAGAACTGGTACTTGGTCCAACATCAAACAGGCATCTGATGATCTGGACTTTCAATATTCAGGTTGATTTCCCTCTGGGGGACCGTGTACTTTTAGTTGTCTCATCATCCAGCACTTGGGCTCAGCAAAGCATCCAGGCTCCATCCTTTGTAGCCAAGGAAAAGGCTGCAGGTGCCTCCCAAAATACCATCTTTAGCAGAAATCCCTCTGTGCAGATGAAGAGGTGCCCGCAAAGCTGAGGGGTGCCAACCAAGACACCTACTTCTTGCCTAGATCAGGATGGGTTGCTCCTACCCCAAGCCGGCTGGAGAACAAAGTCAGGTTTTGTTTTAGCAAAGCACATCAACCTGGCATCTTCACATCTCTAGATTCCCTCTTGTGGCAACTTCAGTCCCATCAGCTTTAAATTAAATGGGCACAGATACCAAGCTAAAAGCCAGCCCAAAGGGATCTTCCGGACAGATAGATCATTTTTCTTTTTTTTTTTTTTTACCCACCAGTAATCCCCGCTGTGAAAAATACAGGTTAGAAAATCTGGGTAGCTTTATGAGCCTGGAGGTTGCCAGCCCATTGCATTAGCGAGTCTCTTGATTAACGGGTTGGGAAGGGTGGCCACGTGCCAGCATTCCAAACCCATTAGCTCAGCCAACGGAGCCCGCGGTCCTCTGCGGACAAGCCCAGCTCTCCCAAAGGATAAAAGGCAGAGGGGACTCCTGATCCGAACCCTCCTCAAAGATTTCCACTCATCTCACCTCTTTGTTCTCCGCTCTCGCCCGGGCACAGAAGTTAGTCGGTGTCAGGTCGGGAAGACTCACGATGAGTTTCAGCGCTGCTTCTGTCGCGATGCCCATCAACCGGCGCAGCTTCAGCTCCATCTCCATGTCCCGCAGCAGCAGTGGAGGCATGGGACGGGTCAGCGGGGGCTTTGGCAGCAGAAGCCTCCACAATCTAGGGGCAAGCAAGAGGATTTCCATGAGCGGAGGGTATTGTTCTGCCAGACCAGGATACAGTTACGGGCCAGGTCATGGCGCGTTTGCGTATCGGGTTGGCGGATCTGGGTTTGGGTTTGGAGGAGGAGGTAGCTCTGGAGGTATTCAAGAGGTCACGGTCAACCACCACCTCTTGGTACCTCTTAACTTGGAGATTGACCCCAACATGCAGAGAGTGCGGCTGGAGGAGAAGGACCAGATCAAATCCCTCAACAACAAATTTGCCTCCTTCATCGACAAGGTAAGGCACGTCCCGCTTCATCCAGCCTGGTGTGTTTGGCTTTGCCTGTAGAGCAGCATCAGGATAGCTCTCAACACCATAAAGTCACTGCTAATCCCTTAATGCACAGAGTTAAGGATTTTATTCAGGTTATTAACTCCATAAATATACCTTCGCTTTGTCAGAGCTCTATGGACACCCTGGACATGGTGCCAATTACTTTTCCAGGTTTCTTTGCAGTTCAATATTGCTCCTGTTTCCAAATCTTCCTACCAAAGAGCTGTCCATGACATGCCAATCCAAAGCCGACTTTAAATGACACTACTATAAAAACCAAAACTCTGATATTAAAACCCCCATCTCATGAAAAATGAGGCAGCTTTTACGTTGATGATCCCAAATGATTAAAATTGTTCTGATGGGTTTCAGGTGCGGTTCCTGGAGCAACAAAATAAAGTACTGGAGACCAAATGGAGCCTCTTGAAAGACCAAAAAATTGCGAAAAATAACCTGGAACCTATGTTTGAGGCGTACATCAACAACATGAGGAGGCAGCTGGAGACTCTGGGAGGGGACAGAATGCGGCTCAGCTCTGAGCTGAAGGGCATGCAGGACGTGGTGGAAGACTTCAAGATGAGGTAAGCAACACACCCCCAAAGAAACCCGTCCCGTGGTGCTTCATTCTGTCTTCTTCCTAGATGAGTTAAAAGACCCAAAGCAACCCTAAAATTGGGAGAGTTCAGAAAGGACTCATTTCCCCTCGCTTCAGATGAGATGTGGGGAAGAACTTCTTTGGTGTGAGGGTGGTGAGAGCCTGGCCCAAGTTGGCCAGAGAAGCTGTGGCTGCCCCATCCCTGGAGGGGTTCAAGGCCAGGTTGGAGGGGGCTTTGGGCAACCTGGGCTGGCGGGAGAGGTCCCTGCCCAGGGCAGGGGAAGAACTCAATGATCTTGAAGGTCCCTTCCAACCCAAACATCCTATGATTATATGACTTTAGCTGCTCTCTAAACACCACCAGCAACATTCTACCCAATAGAAGACATTTTCTTTGCAGGGACAGGGGGACTTTTCTAAGGGCTCAGATAATCAGACATCCACAGGACTTCGGGAGCAGCTTCTCGAAAGTCCAACCTCTCCAGAACCTTAAGCTTTCCAAACAGTTTCATCTCCTATGTAGTCATTTTAATAGGGACCAGGATGAAATCTCAATCTTTCCAAGCCTATTGAGCATTCTGAACACTCAATGATGTGGATTCCTTTCCAGGAGAGAAAAGATGTTTAAAAATTTGAAGTGTGTATTTAAGTGTTTTGCTTTGGTTTTATTCTTCTCCTTCTCCTTTTAATTATTATCACGTTCTTTAATACCGATGTATTGGGTGGTTTTAGCACTTCTGAAAGGCAGGACTTAGCTTCTGCCCTGTAGAGAGTCACTGAGATCTTGGACGAGGGCTTCAGCTCAGCTCATTAACTCTTTAGGCTGTGAGGAGGAGGAGGAGTGTTCATCCACCCTCTGCACTTTGGAAAAACATCTATCGAGTGCTAGTGTCTGCTCCCGTGCCCACGAGGGACACGCTGCTTAATGGACAGGAATAAGTTAAGGAGCTTAAACTGTCAATCTGGAACCAGAAAAACAAGAGCTGAGAGGCAGGAGGCGGCTGCACTTCACAAGGACACGTGCGTTCTGCCCAAAAACCCTCTGCTCTCTCTTTCTTGGGAGATCAGGTGCCCGACACTTGCTGCCACCTCCACCAACAGCGCCTCTGGCCCCAGAGCAGCATCGGATCAGAAGCGACTGCCTTGGGGAAGAGAAATCATCACCCACAGTCTGCTCTGAGCCTTCCTTTTTAGGGTTCTCTGTGCCTTCAGAAAAGAAACACTTAAGAGAGGGAAAAAAAATCTGTCCCGTGTCAGTTTGGGCATTTAAGACCTCAGGGTCTGCTCCAGGTCAACCACCTGGAACTCCTTAACTCATTTTAGGATGGGAGAAATGACATTCTGGAGATAAATATCCTTCTCCATCAGCTACAGAAGAAAAACCCAAAAGTCAGAGCTTAGCCAAAATAGTCAAGTTCCAGGTGGCCGACTTGAGATGAACCCCCACCGTAAGCACAATCCTGCTACTGATTCACTGGGTCCGAGAGTGTCCTCTCCTGTTCTCATCACAGGCCCGTGGTGAAAGCCACTTTAAATTTGGAGAACAAATATCTGACGTTAGAGCAGTCTGGAGCAGTGAAGCAGCAGCAGAGATTTTTCTCAGCTCGGCTGAGAAAAGACCCTTGGGTGTGCCATGACTTCAGCCAAGAAACCCTTTGACAACCAAAGAAGAGGTTCTGACTTTAATCCTCCGCCTGCATCTAACATAAAGTGGCAAATATTCCTTCTGGCTCCAGATCAGAGAATCTTTGGGCAAAAGCTCAATTACATCATACGCATTGCTGGGCAGGGACCGTCATCTTGTGTTGGGGCAACAAAACCTGCACCTACCAAAGGACGTCACCGTTTCTTCCCCTTTTCCTAGGAATCCCTTCTTCTTACCTTTATGGGTAAAGCTTTGCGGGTCCCAAAGTAATCTTCTTAATGCTTTGCTCTTCTGAGTCAAATACTAATTCCTACAGCAATTAGAAAGTAGACATATGCCAAATTAGTTTTCCTCTTGTACCTGGCTTAGAGCTTAGAGACCCACAAACCTATATAGACTAGGACTCTCCATAAAGGCTAGGACTTTGTTTAATGCACATATTATTTTAAGGCTTGGACATTCCTGATGCGAAGAAATCTTCCCCCATGAGAGGGTCAGAAAAGGTTAATGTTTTATTAGCCACACGGACTCTTCCCTTCGAACCCCTGTCTTTCACCTCCCCCACTGACAGTTGGACAAGATGATCTTTAAGGTCCCTTCCAACCTAGAAGATTCTGTGATTTAATCATCTCATTCGAACTGGGCATCGGTCCACGGCTATTGCTGGTTTTTATCCTTTTCCAAGAGAGGGACTGGGTGCTGCTGCTGACCCAGACCTTGGCTCTCCTTGCCCAGGCCATCGTCCTCCTTCCTTCCTGGCCATCCCCGGCTCTCCCGAAGCCACGGCGGGAGCTGGCGTCAGGGATCCCGGCTCTTGTGACTAACCCAGGTGTGGCGGCGATGAGCTCAGCCCCGGCTCCACCCAGCCCTCCCGGCCTGAGAAAATGCAGAGAGTACAAGGCTCCTATTCAAGGCCAAAACTTCTGGGAGGATAAAACGTGCCTTTAATGAAGGCCTGCAGCTTTTCTCGATGGCCTCCTCCCACCACCTAGCCCAAGGGTGCTGTCTTTCTATCATAGTCGGTGAGATATATATATATATCTCTAATAACCCCATGTAAAATAGATGCACTGACAGAGCAAGGACAGATGTGCATTCTTTAGTAGCTATTTCTGTTGCTTCCTCCAAAGACGTATCATAGGATGGTTTGGGTTAGAAGGGACCTTTGAAGGTCATCTAGACCAACATCTATGGTGGGAACCGACTTTTTGGTCTCTGCCCAAGCCCCCCATGTGGAGAAGGGATATCCACATGCTCATGGTGGAGGGGTGGGTTGCAGCAAGGATGCTGCAGGGGGATGTTCATCTCCTCTTCCCAACAGGTATGAAGAGGAGATCAACAAGCGCACGACTGCCGAGAATGACTTCGTGATGCTGAAGAAGGTGAGGCACCAACAACAAAGCAGGGACACGCTTTTTCAAGGCAAAACACATTTGAATGCAAATAACCCTTTTATCCTGCGGTGCCAACCTGGGCAAAGCACTTAGCAAAGGTGTAGTCATCCCTCCTTGAAGCACAAACGCCCAGTTGTGCCAGTGTGTCAGGCCCTGGCAATAGCTTGTCCTTGTTTTAAGCCCCTTGTCCAAAATTCAGGTGAGTCCCCCCAGGTACCAGATCAGATCTGGGTCATCCATACCTTGTAGTCACTCCTCTGGATGCTCTGCCACTTCTGCAGCCTTTCTGTACCCATTCCCACCCTCCACAGCTCCCCTGGTCCCAACTGCAGGAGACACAAGGAGAAACTTCCACTAGTTCAAGCGTCATCCCAAATATCTGCCTGCGCGCTAGCAAAAGAAGGGACATTCAGTGGCTTTTAACATGTCAAAAATTGCTTAGATCTACGGACATCATCCTTCCCTCCTCCAAAAAACAGGTGGAGGGAAGAAACCGGTTCACTCTTGGCTCTGTTTAAAGGCACAGAGGTCAAGAAAGTCCTCAGTTGTAGTTTGTATTAAATGACAACTGGTCTTTGTACAAGGATGCGGAGAGGCAAGGTTTGGTTCACTATCTCTGTTGTCATGGTTCCAGGATGCAGATGTTGCCTACATAACCAAGGTGGACCTGGGGGCCAAGGTGGAAGCACTGACAGATGAGATTAACTTCCTGCGAGCCCTCTACGAAGCAGTAAGAATCCCCCAAATTTACTAGTTTGGCTTTTTCTCCATTTTCCTGGTGCCACCAGGACCGAACCAGTTCCCATTCCCACCCTTCCACCGCACACCATCCCCGGGACAAGCACAACAGTGAAAGGTTTGGGACTGAGAACGGGTTGGTTTGACTTACAGGAGCTGTCCCAGATGCAGTCCCAGATCTCCGACACCTCCGTGGTCCTCTCCATGGACAACAACCGAAACCTGGACATGCGCAGCATCATCGCCGAGGTCAAAGCACAGTACGAGGACATCGCCAACCGGAGCCGGGCAGAGGCTGAGTCCTGGTACCAGAGCAAGGTGAGGATGTGAAAATTAACCCGGTGAGCCAGGAAAATTGTTGTTTATCATTTCCCAAAGGCTATCGTATAGTGGAGAGTGCAAACAGAGAGGTCAGGGCAGTAGGGTGTAAAATCAAGTCAATTTGGACAGGATTTCATTTGGTTTCTTGGACACGTGGAAATGCCATTGTGACAATGAGAGAGGGAGGAGCACAAGGAGAGAGGAGGAAGAAGGACACAGGCTAAAGTCATAAGGAAGAGTTCGATTGAGTACAGAAAGAGACAAAAGCCCTGGTCAGGAGAGGATCAGAGCAGGGACAATGTCTACCAGTGAGTTCCAGCTCCAGCCCAGGCCTGACTCTGCCCTGGTGTCTCCTCTCCCTGCTCATCCCAGTACGAGGAGCTGCAGCTCACAGCTGGCCGGCATGGGCACGACCTCCAGAACACCAAGATGGAGATCTCGGAGATGAATCGCATGGTCCAGCGGCTCCACTCAGAAATTGATAACGTAAAGAAACAGGTAGGGCACACAAGACCCCTCCAAACATGGGGGCATCTCCATCCCCACAACCTTCCTGCACCCTTCTTGCAAGGATGCCTGGCAATCGGCGTCCAAACCCACTGGGCAGTCAACCAGACCCATTTTCACCTCTTGCAGTGCGGAACTTTGCAGACGGCCATCGCCAATGCTGAGCAGCGCGGGGAGATGGCCATCAAGGACGCCAAGGCCAAACTGTCCGAGCTGGAGGATGCTCTGCAGAAGGCCAAGGCTGACCTGGCCCGTCAGCTCCGCGAGTACCAGGAGCTGATGAACGTCAAGCTGGCCCTGGACATCGAGATCGCGACCTACAGGAAGCTGCTGGAGGGAGAGGAGTGCAGGTAAGTGGCTCCCCCTCCAAACCAAATAATGTCAAAACCCCTAAATGTTTTCACCATTGCCTTGCAATGAGAGAGGGAAGGGCCACAAAAGCTTGCAGAGAAAACACACCCCTGTCCCACGCCGTTACAGGGGTTATTTCAATCCCTGTTGGATGCTCATCATCAGATCTTAACACCCCAGACCATCCTGTCACCCAGTGGCCCCAGTCCCAGACTCTTGCTTGAAATTGTCCTAAATAACAAGCCCTTTCTTCTCTGTCCTCTCTTCCAGGATGGCTGGAGAAGGCGTTGGTGCAGTGAATATTTGTAAGTAACCTGGCTCTTAAGCAATAGATTGAGTATTCATTGAGTTATTCCTTAGATGTACCTGGGACTGTAGATAGAACAATGAAAATGAGTTCTGCAGCTAGTAGTTACCAGCAAAAAATGGGGTATACTGAGGATTTTTCAGGGCCCAATACATCTTTTCCCTGACCAGCTCTGAACTGGAAAGGTTTTGTATGTTGAGACTGTCCCCAGGAGACTCAGATGTCTCAGGGCCAGCTCTGCCACAGGACGGGGAGAATTAGATGCGTGAGACAGAGGCAGTGGTTGACTGTCCAAGAAAAACCCCGTGAAATGTGTGAAACTAGAGGCTGAAATCCTTTTGTGCTCTTCCCAATGTGCTAATAACCCTCTGCCCCGTGTTCTCCTGTCACAGCCGTGGTCTCAGCCGGGAGCAGCTTCGGAGCCGGGAACGCACTGGGGCCGGGCTTCGGGAGCAGGCTCAGCGCCGGGGGAGGCGGCAGCGGGGGCTTCTCCTCCAGCGGGGGCTTCTCCTCCAGCGGCGGCTTCTCCTCCAGCGCGGGAAGCAGCTCCAGCGTGAGGTTCATATCGAAAAGCAGCAGCAAGAAGAGCTACCGGAGCTAAACCACAGCAGCCCCCAGCTCGCCCGGAGCAGAAGAGGTTGAGCATCCCCTCCTGCTGCCCAGCACAAAGCCAATTAACACCAGCCAAAGTGTTATCACGCTTATCACCTTCCCATTAGGGTAAAACGTATTCCCAGCGCTGCTTATCAGCTTGGGAGAGATGCCTCTCCACCTCTCCACGGCCAAGTAATCCCTCTGCCTAAAGCCTCATCCAGCTGACCCAGTCAATGAGCAATCAGCCCTCCCATTAAGGGGTGCCATCGTTAGAGCCCAGCTTGCAGCTTCCCCAGTGCCCCGGCGCTAATCCAGAGCAGAGGCAGGATTTGGGATTTACACCAGAACAGATGAAAGCAGAAGGTGATGACAGAAAGCGGGAGGTGCGTGGAGACCAGGGTCTCCTGTCCCCTGCTCCTGACTGGTCCCACTCTCCACTTGCTCTCCCCAAAGGCTCAAAAATAAAACATCTTTCAACGTAGAGGCAGTTGCTCTGTTTCCCAGTTCCTCTTGCACTCCAGCTCCCCCTGCACCCAAAAATGTCATTCTTCATAGGGGAAAGGGGTTGGATCTCTGTAACACCTAATTCGTCACCCACCCAGTATGTATAATTTAAGCCCGAAGACCACATAACCTACAGGACCTTATCTCAGCAAACCCTTCTCCTTTCCACCAGCCAGAGTGAGCTTAAGGTAGAGAGAGGGGTTAAAAATACAAGCAAAACAAAAAGGAGGCTTTGGTAACATAACCTGGAAAAACATCTCTGGTTCAGTGCCTTTGTTCTTAGCTTGGGGTTTGCTTTTTCTTCTTCTTCTTCTCTTTTTATGGAAGGAGGAGGGAGGCAAAGAGGGGTTGGAGAATTCTGTGCCAAAAATGTAACTAACCAGCTCATTTCCTCTCATCTTCCACTCCCGTTGAAATGTACAAGTTCCGTGAAATTCCTTCAATAAACTGCAATTAAACTTCTCATGAGCAAATGTGGGGTTTCTGTGCCATTACGAAATTCACCTAAAAGTGTAATTTTAGAACCAGGTTTAGATGATTTGCCACCGGCACTCGCTTTCACTCAGAGCCTTCCCATCTCCTCCTCCTCCTCCCCATCCCAGTATCTATGGGGGTACTGGGATGAGGAACCCATCCCAGAGAAAATGACATGTACTGGAGATGGGGGGGTCACCAAGCAGCAACACCCAAGCGCTTTGGGAGGTTTCTCCCAGAGCACCAGCAGAAGGTGGGGCTGGTTTCACCTGGCCATAAACACTTCCATCTGAGCCGGTCACGGGACAGAAACAAACACTTTTGGGTCAAGTGATTTGTTCCCTGGTAACACCACCCTCCTTCCTCCCTCCACGGGACCAAAAGTGCTGCAGGCTGAAGGCATCTGCGTTGAGGGATTACACCAAAAGGTGTCTGAAAGTCAGGAAAGATGGATCCCATGCACCTAAACTTCTGGAAAGGCTGGTTCCAGCCCTGCAGCTTGTGCAGGGACCAAAACATCTCTCCCGTGAGGAAAGGCTGAGGGACTTGGGTCTTCTTAGTCTGGAGAAGAGAAGGCTGAGGGCGGACCTCATCAAAGGATGGGTGTCAGGAGGATGGGGTCAGACTCTTCCCAGTGGTGCCCAGTGACAGGACAAGGGGCAACAGGCACAAACTTTGGATACGGGGGGTTCCGTCTCAACACGAGGAGGAACTTCTCTCCCGTGAGGGTGGCAGAGCCCTGGAAGAGGCTGCCCAGAGAGGGTGGGGGGGTCTCCTTCTCCAGAGAGATTCCAAACCCACCCTGGATTAATCCAACCTCCTCTGGGCTCTGGCCGGGGGTTGGGGGAGATGATCTCCAGAGGTCCCTTCCAGCCCCACAGCATTCCGTGGTTCTGTGAAAACAGGAGGGATTTATCTCTATCCTCTCTGCAAAGGGGCCAGCAGAGCCATCAGGCCAAGTGATTCCAAAGCAGGATGCAGTCCCAGTGCAGAACAACGCTCCTGAGAAGAGGTTTTTTGTTGGGTTTTGTTGGGTCAGCAGATGGAAGCTGGGCTGGCTCAGACAAGCTGACGGTACTGAGCTCTGCCCAGGTCTGTAATTAAAAACCCAAGAGAGAGAAAGCGAGAAAAGAAGCCAAAGCAACTTCTTGCATTTCCAACTATCACACGGAAGAGCCCTTTTCCAGCATTCAGGGCCCAATCACGGAGGATGCCGAGCTCTCTGAACTCCTTTTAGGCTGCCTCCCAAAAAGCACTTTGCACTCACAACTCCCACACAGCTTTACCCTCAAACGTTGCGTGGCAAAATAGGGCAGGCAGCTTTGGGGCTTGCATGCAGGAACTTCTCTCTCATCCTCTTCATGGAGCAGAACATGTTCTCGGGCCATGGTACATGCCAAGGGAAAAAAAAATAATAAATCACATAAAAGCAAACGCACCTTTGAAAAAAAAATAAAATAAAAGGCTGAGATTTTCAGGGCTAAGCCCTCAGCATTATCCCACCGCAGGCAAAAGAATGAAGAGGGTTCCCACCCATGGCACAAAGCCTTTTCAATATTTCGGCAGACGGGACTGAAAAATCACCTATTCCATTTTCTAGGGAGGACTTTTCCGCCTTTCCTGTAGAACAGAGCGATTTGCTCTTTCATTTCATGCACCCCCTATGCCCTTCAGGATACAGAATGTGCCTACGTGAACAAAGATGAGCTGAAAATCCAGGTGAGTCCCTCACCCAAGGGATCAACTGCCCGAGGAGCCGTGATGGCTTTTCCTTCTCTGCTCCCTTTTCCTCCACCCCTGGCCTCTTTAAGGGTTAGGAGTTCAGTTCAGCTCCCACAACCCAACACTTCAGAGAATTTTTGGTGTTTTCTGCACTGACCTCTCCGGATTTCCCAGGTGTTACTCTTGCACTGAGTGGGCAAGACCCTAAGGAATCTGTTTCAGCTTGATGGGGAAGGTAAAATCACAGAATCACAGAATCTTCTAGGTTGGAAGGGACCTTCAAGATCATCTTGTCCAACCGTCAACCTAATTTTGACAAAAATAAACACCCCCACAACAAACAAAAAGCAACACCATCACTAAACCGTATCTCCCAGCACTAAATCAACCTGTCTTTTGAACACCTCCAGGGATGGTGCCTCAACCACCTCCCTGGGCAGCCCGTTCCGAGGTCTAAAAACCCTTTTGGTGAAAAAAATTTTCCTAATATCCAGCCTGAACTTCCCCTGGAGTAACTTGACGCCATTTCCTCTCGTCCTGTTGCCTAAATCCAGAGAGATTAAACCAGTAAATCCCTTCTTGGGTTTTCTGCGGCGAGGGCTGATGTCACGGCATACGGAGGACACCCCATCTTCTCCTTGTCTCCACGCCGTGGGGAGCAGCAGGGAACCTTCCCCCCCCAGGGCAGAGGACCGAGAATCTGCTGCCCCCAGGAAACCACCCGGCTCCAACCACCCCCGTCATTGTGCCAATGGACAAGAGGGTGAAGCCTGGACATGGATGACATCACCGCTGACGTCACGGCTCAGCATGATGACATCATACCAGGTTTAATTTCTGACTCATCTCCTCACTCTGGTATTTATTCTCATCGTGTTTTCCCTCTCCTCAGTATGAGGAACCAAGAGAAGCCGCTGGCAAACAGGAGGACAGCTCGTGTAACGTGCAGCACGAAGCTGTGGAGCTGAAGGAACGATTCAGAGCCCGAGAGGAGAAGGTGAAAACACCGAAGCCCAGGAAAGGAGGACTCGGGGACAATAACGCGGCAACCACGGTTCCCAGGTTGTGGCTTTCCAAAACTCTTCCACTGGAGAAAAGGGGCAATAAAGCCCATTGTGATGAAATACACACCAGCTGCTCAGCTCAAAGACTTGACCAAGACTTGACCATAACCCCGAGTACAGAATAAAATGGTCTATAATGACTAATTACTGAACTGCCATCAGCGGAGACCTGCGGTGAGAAGACACCGCAGACACTGAAGGCTTATCCCAGCAGAGAGAAGGGTCCTAGAGATAGAGCTTCACCCACAGAGTCTGAAAACTCAACAGAGCGCAGGTGGATGAACACACGGACAGGCAGATTCAAGAGCCCTGAACTATGCAAAGCAGATGCAAATAAGGCCCAGTAATGAAAATCTCCCACCTGCAGAGATGCCAACTGGAGGGAGCCGTTGCCCAGGCTGGGGAGCACGGGAAAGTGGTGGGCAAGGATGCAAAGGGCAACTTCTCCGAACTGGATCCCTGCAAAGGCTAAGCAGGACGTGGCCCACGAGCACCAGGAGCTGAGGAACATCAAGCTGGCCCTGGACATGGAGATCGTGACCTACAGGGAGCTGCTGGAGGGGGAGGAGAGCCGTGGGTGCTGGTACAACCCTGCAAGTGGCTCATAAGGAAGAAGGAGGAACATCTAACTCCACAACCACCTTCCTCAGTGGCTGACGAGCCAACACCTCTGTAACTGCAGCAAATCCCACCGAGACCCAACGTCCCAGGGGCTGACACTTCCCAAAGCACTTTCCAGCATTTATGGACCCAAACACCTTACAAAGCCAAAAGCTCCTGATGCACTCAGGCAGTCAGGTTTTCCCCCAAAATGGAACACCTTGCATCATCAAAGATCATGTCTTCCGTAGCCTCAGGTCCTATCAAGCAGCTGATCAAAAACGTTTTTTTCCAAAATAAAACCTTTTTTTTTAAAAAAAAAAAAGAGATTTTTACATTTAAAAAAAAAAAAAAAGTAGCACCAAAACCTCTCACTCCCAACACACTCAACCCAATTAAAACTATTTGGCTTAATTGAGGTAGCTCAAAAGATTTTGGGCTTTTTTGGAGTCAGTTGAACATCATACTCAGCTACCTGTCTCTCTTGCATCGGGGAACATGCAGCTTTATCCACCATCCCTTTCTCCTTCTGGGTCCAGCCTCCTGCAACCTCCATCCTCAGCTTTCTATCCAGAAGTGCTCTACAGTTGCCTTTGGTGTCACTTGTCCCATCAGAAGCAGAAGGTGTTACCTAGAATGAGTGTGGAGAGAAGAGATGGAGCCACAGAGCCATAAAATACAACAAGAGCCTGGGGCAACGTGGTCCCAAGGGTTGGGGACAACCCCAAGATCAACCCTAGATCTTCTGCCAGACGCCTGCGAGTCCTGGAGCCAAAGTGTCCAAGAGCTCCCAGACCTCAACACCAAAACAGGTAATTTTGGCTTCCAGTTGTCACCAACCGCTGAAGAGGGAAGGGGGAAGAAGTGCAGTCAACAAAATCAAAGCCATTAGTTTGAAACTTCCACCCTGCCCCTACGAAACACGCTACCCTCCCACACACCAACGCTGTCCCGGCCAAGGACCCGGACACACGCGTGTGTAAGCAGCAAAGAGTCGCAGCCCCGACGCCACAATGAGGGCACTCGCCCAACGTAGGAGGCGAAAGGACCAAGCCTGGCCTTGCCCCAAACCAGGTGGGAAAACCCAACCTTCAATTTGAGGGCGGAGGGGAGGAGGAGACGCCGGTTTTCTGGGGATTTGGCCAATGAGAGCGGCTGCAAACGCCACCGTGTTCCAAGCGCCGGTTTCAATTTCAACTCATCAGCAATTCCCCCCTCAAAATAAATTACCACGTTGGAAAACACTGGTATCAGCAACCTGCTGAAAAAATCACCTTGAGAAACAGATTTGCCCCCACTGATGTTTACCTGCCATTAAAACACGTTGCCTTTTTATAGGCAGAACCAACAAAACAGGGTCATTTCCCATGAACCCGCCTGCGAGACTTCCTTAATTCTCAATAAATTCTCATTTATCACTGATAGGCTTTTATTAAACATCAAGTTGGGTCACGTTCTCCTTCGAAGCTCTTACCTGTAAGCTGAGCTACCAGCCAAACGTAACGATCGCCTGTGCCAGAAAAGCATTTCACATTTTCAAAGGCTCCGTTCCGTGTTGTCCAACCCATAAAAAGTGGAAGGTGCAATTTTTACCACGTTGGAAAAAACTCCCCTCGTCTTTGTCGTTATTACACAAGACGTCGATGTGACCCCTCTGCCTTAAGATCGTTCTCCAAACCTTTATGGGGGCAAAATACGGTTTCTCCGCTGGTGAGCACAATATATGCTAAATAATTCACATTCTTTGCATCCTAAACATTTTGTGGAAGTTTCATGCGGCCTCGCCCCATTTTCCATGCAAATAAAAGGAAGAAGGTGCTCCACTGCTCTCAGAGGAAGGTGCTCCCAGCACATCGCCTGCATTGGTCCCTCACCCACAAGTCACCATGTCCTGCTGCTCCCACAGCACCAGCTCCAGCCACCCCATCGGGAATTTCAGCTCTTCCTCGGCGGCTCTTCCCAGGAATCCACATCGTTTCGGCATGGCCTTGTGTCTCTGGGGTGGTGGCATGGGCTACCGTGGCTTGGGACACTTCAGCAGCAGAAGTTTCAATGTTGTGGCCTTCTCCAAGGCCAGAACAGCTCTTGGACGACATCCTCCTCCTCTGAGACGCGGATATGGCTTCGGTGCAGCTAGCATGGGGTTCGGCTACCAAGGTGCTGGCTTTGTCTACAGGGTTTGTGGAGTCTCCAGGCCATGCATCATCACACCCATCACCATCAACGAGCAACTGCTCCAGCCACTCAGAATGGACCTCGATCCCAACGTGCAAACGGTGAAGAACCAAGAGAAGGAGGAGATCAAGACCCTCAACAACAAATTTGCTTCTTTCATTGACAAGGTGAGCCCAGAACCTCCCTCTCAAGAGCCCAGCCGAGGTACCTGGTGTGGAAAGGGCACGAAACCCTTGTGAGACCACTCATTTTAGACACTTTAGACAACTCGCATGAGGGTCCCCATCGAGCACCAAGGTGTGCATGAGCCACTGGGAAGGGTTCAGTGCTCGGGCACTGCTCAGCTGATCTTAGACCTGGGTGCAGGGAGGGAACAAGTTAAACCCACGTTCATCAGCTTTCCAGTTCCTTCCCTTCTTCTCTGCACATCCCTGCCAGGAAAAACCGCAAGGATTAGGATTAGGATTAGGATTAGGATTAGGATTAGGAAACAGGTCGTTTTCATCTACCCAGAGCAGGAACACCCACTTCCCTGGCTCTCACAAACCTTTCATCCTCATCCCATTTCCTATTTTACTTCCTGGGATTCAGGTTCGACTCCTGGAACAGCAGAACAAGGTGCTGGAGACCAAGTGGAACCTTCTACAGGGTCAAAACCCCTCCAAGAACACCATCAGGCCCATGTTAGAGGCTTACACTGGTAACTTGAGGAAGCAGCTGGAAGCACTGGGCTGCAAGAGAGCTCAGTTGGAAGCAGAGCTGAAAGCAGCACAGCAGGTTTTGGAAACCAACAAGAAAATGTAAGTGAAAAACCAAAGAAATGTGAGTAAAGGGCTCAAAATGTTCAAGATTTATAAACAGGCAGAGACTGTGAACTTTTCGTGGTAGTAAATGGTTCCCAGAGAACCAGCAGGGAGATGGAGAGACCTACGAGGATCTCAGTATATAAAATAAGGTCCCAATTTACAGAGAGATGGACGAAACGCAGGACGTCCCTCTTCCAGGTTCTCTTTCTCTCCTTCCTAACTCACGTTCAGCAGCTATTTCTTGTTGCAGAGGTCAAACAAAACACTTTCTCCTGCAAATCTGTAGACGCAGAAACCTCTCCAAAAGCATGCTTGCTTCCCCATGGGCTATGAAACAAGACCAAAGCATCCCCAAAACATCGTCTGGGGAGAAGTAAAAAAAAAAAAATTAGGAGTGTCACTTGTTGAAAAAAGGCCTGAAGACACCCAGGCAAAGGTGTAATTGTGCTGAACTCAACCAAAAGCTCCCATTTTCCCACGCAGGTACAAGGACGAAGGCAGCCGCCGGACGTGCACCGAGAGGGAGTTCATTGCCCTAAAGAAGGTGAGCAAGGGGCTGTTTGAACTTGGGTTCAGGTCTCTGGGGTGCAGGCAGTGATTTATTGCCCAAAAGCGGCACCAAAAAACAAGCCCGAGCAGGAGCTGGTGCTTGGCTTTGCTGGAACTCAAATCAGCAGCGACTGCGTAACTGGGAGCTGGCGCAGGGTCCCGGGTTCCAGAGCTCAAAGTCCCTCAGCCCAAGGGCAGCCCCGAGTCTGCTCTCGCTAAAAAACTTCCTTCTTCCATCCCCAACCCGTCTCCAGGATGCAAACTGCTTTTCCTTAAACAAAGAAGAGCTGGAAGCCAAAGTGAAAAGCCTGAAAGAGGAGGTGGAATCCCTGAGAACCTTCTACGAGGAGGTAAGAACCCTCCCCCCATGGCTCCAGCCATCCGTTGCTTTTCCCAGATGGATTTTGAAGCAACTTATCCCAAAGGAGAGGGGCACCACGGGGCGGTGGGAATCGGGGAGACAGTGTGGGTGACACCAGCCTTGGGGCTGGACTGGGAAGGCAGCGGGACCAGCATCTCTCTGACCAGCTCAACCCCGTGTCGCCGGCAGGAAACCCACCAGCTGCGGGCCCAGATCTCGGGTGCTTTGGTGGTGATGCAGATGGACACCAGCCGGGATCTCCACCTGGATGACATGGTGGCGGACGTCAAGGCTCGGTACGAGGACATCGCCCGCAGGAGCCGGGCAGAGGCGCAGACCCGGTATGAAAACAAGGTGAGAAAACCTGGCAGAGGGAGGGTTTGGACACAGTTTCTCTCTTCAGACCAACTTCAAACCCAGAAAAAACACACCCCGACTCTCCTGATTTGCTCTGATTTAACTCAAAACGTGGTTTGTTGGGATACGCAACGACATCTTTTGGGGTTTTTTTTCAGTTTGAGGAGCTGCGAGTCACCGCAGGAAGAAACGCCAAGAGCCTGCAAGAGAGGAAAACCAAGGTCTTGGAGCTGAACTGGAGAGTCCAAGTCCTGACCGGAGAAGTGGGAAGCGCCAAGACCCAGGTGAGCACAGCCTGGTTGGGAGGTTCCAGCAGGGCAGAGAGGGAATTGCTGTTCCCATCACCTCCCACAGCTAAATTAACTGGTGCTGCAGCACCTTGCAAAGGGTTTTCACGAGCTGCTGCTCCAACCAGGGCTGGGTTAAAGCCCGAATCACCCAGTGCCCCAAGGAGGATGCAGTTACAGCATCCCATCCCCTGCCACCAACACAAGGGACCACTGAAACTGCCCACCCAGCTCCCTCAAACCTCTGCCAAGGGGGAAACTGGGTGTCCATCCAACTGCTGGATGCTCAACCGCATTTTAGGGCCACAAAGATGCTCAGAGGGCTGGGGCACCTCTCCTATGAAGACAGGCTGAGAGAGCTGGGGTTGGTCAGCCTGGAGAAGAGAAGGCTCCGGGGACAACCTTCTAGCAGCCTTGCAATTTCTGAGGGGAGCTACAGGAGAGCTGGGGAGGGACTCTTTGTCAAGAAGTGCAGTGACAGGACAAGGGGGAACGGTTTTAAATTGGAAGAGAGGAGATTTAGATTAGATATCAGATAGAAATTCTTTGGTGTGAGGGTGGTGAGACACTGGAACAGGTTTCCCAGAAAAGTTGTGGCTGCCCCATCCCTGGAGGGGTTCAAGGCCAGGTTGGACAGGGCTTTGAGGAACGTGGTCTAGTGGGAGGTGTCCCTGCCCAGGGCAGGGAGTTGGAACTGGATGATCTTTAAGGTCCCTTCCAACTCCAACCATTCTATGATTCTAGGATTTGAACCCCATCTCTTGGTAACTCAGTATGTTTGAAGGCATCAAGGGACAGCTAAGACTCATCATGTCTCACTCCTCGCAGCGCTGTGAGCTGGAAGCTGCCGTGACTGATGCTGAGCAGCATGGGAAGATGGCCATCAAGGATGCCAAAGCCAAACTGTCCGAGCTGGAGGATGCTCTGCAGAAGGCCAAGGCCGACCTGGCCCGGCAGCTCTGTGAGTACCAGGAGCTGATGAATGTCAAGCTGGCCCTGGACATCGAGATCGTCACCTATAGGAAGCTGCTGGAGGGCGAGGAGAGCAGGTGGGTGGCAGATCCCACGAGGGTGATAGATCCCAGAGGGGCTGCATGAGCTGCTGTATGTGCACAAGTTGGAAGGAAAAACAACTGGCCTGTGCTCTTTTGGGGCTGCAATTCACCTACATGGTCCTGATGCTGATAATGTTCCTCCCATCAGTCCCAAAAGACCTCCACCGGTGCAACCTGCAGCGTGAGGGAGGTGATTCCACCACTCTACTCTTCTCTGGTGGGACCCAGCCTCGAGTCCTGAGTCCAGCTCTGGAGTCCTCAGCACAAGAAGGACACAGAGATGTTGGAGAGAGGCCAAAGGAGGCCATGGAGATGCTGGGAGGGCTGGAGCCCCTCTGTTGGGACGACAGGCTGAGAGAGTTGGGGGGGTTCAGCCTGGAGAAGAGAAGGCTCTGGGGAGACCTTGGAGCCCCTTCCAGTCCCTAAAGGGGCTCCAGGAAAGCTGGGGGGGGACTCTGGATCAGGGAGGGGAGCGATGGGATGAGGAGGAAGGGTTTGACACTGAAAGAGGGGAGATGGAGCTGAGATGTGGGGAAGAACTTCTTTGGTGTGAGGGTGGTGAGAGCCTGGCCCAGGTTGGCCAGAGAAGCTGTGGCTGCCCCATCCCTGGAGGGGTTCAAGGCCAGGTTGGAGGGGGCTTTGGGCAACCTGGGCTGGTGGGAGGTGGCCCTGCCCAGGGCAGGGGGTGGCACTGGATGATCTTTAAGGTCCCTTCCAACCCAAACTGTTCTATGATTCTATGATAAACCCACCCAAACAGCCCGTCCTACGGCCTCCAAACAGCGACAGAGGGGCTGGAGAGGGTCAGGCTCCCGTTTGAGGATAAAGGACTTTGCATTTAAGACAGGTTGATAATGTGCAACCTTTTCCCGTTCTCTGCAGGCTCTGTGCTGAAGGCAACACCTTCCCCACCAACACCCGTAAGTTGGAGTATTCACCTTCTACCAAACTCAGGCACCTTCTGCCTTTTCTCCAGGGAAATAATCATAGTTTTAGTCTTGCCTCTCCAATAAATTGACATAGGAAATCCGTTGCCTTCATTTGGGGAAAAGGAGGGTGAATTCTTGGAGCAGGATCCATTCTGCCTGGTGCTGAGTGCCCGTGACACAGCTGGCTGCTAGCACGGCAGGAGCCCAGGTGACATGTCTCCACCAGTATGGGATGGAGCCCCAAATGATTATTCCCCCAGGAAGAACACATTTAGAGGGCACTGACTGAGCACTGACTGGTAAAACCACACTCCGATGCGAGGACCCACGGGGTCCCGGCAGTGCAGGGGTGGGTAAAGCATCCTTCAAGGCCCCCGCAGGCCCATCACCATCCTCATCCTGGAGAAAACGGCTTTTCTCAGTGACTCCAAACCCTCTGCCTGGCCCCATCCCTCATGTGACAGCAGCTCCAGCGAGGGCTGGCGGCCCTGAGATGGTGGGAACAAGCCCAGACCCCCCCAGGGTGAGCCCTTCTTGCCCCACGCTGCCCCAAAGGGAGCAGGAACGAGTTGTCCTCATGCAGCAAAGCCCAGATTCCCCTCTCCAAGCTCTGGTCACCTGCAAGAGAAGTGTCCCCTGTGGTGGAAGATGGTGCTGGGAGGGATTGGTCCCACCAGTTCCAGGCCCAATGAGGGGCTGGTGTGAAGCCAAGTGCTTGAACAAAACCAGTCCCACCCTCCCACTGCCCCAAACTGGGTAGAATTCACCCAGGAATGACAGACTGAGCCGGCAGCAAACCCTAAATCCCAGGGGACAGAGCTGGGAGCAGGCTCTGGGGACAGCAGGGAGGTGACAACACGGGACGTTTCCCAGAGCTCCTGGGCACCCAGGGCAGCACGGAAGACCGAGACGGAAGAAGCACGCAATAGGGAAACTTTATTGATGGCCCCAAGAAAAGGTCTCAGACCACAAAAGACATAATAAAATGTCACCCAAAGGGACACTGCTGGGACAGGGCTGAGCAGGCGGCACAATTCCGTGCAGTTTGAGTTATTTCCCTAACTGCAGGAACAACCTAACGATCTTCCCTGGCGTGTTTCAGTTGAAGACACATTTTGGCAGGGATGCAGCAACGAAACACACTTTTTCCCTGGCTGTAGGAAAGCCATGGGATATCACTAGGGATAGATAGAAGGTGGCAGAGACACTCGAGGATGGGGAATCTTATCTCCCATTTTAAGCAACTTCATATCCCTCAAGCTTTGGGCTTCCTTTTAAGGAGAAAGAAAGGGGTAGAGGAGCTGGTTTATGAGTTACTTGGTCTTAAAAGGACCTGAAAGCAAATGTGTCTGCATTGCCTTTGGTAAGGAACCAGCTTCATTCAGAGGAGAACTGTCAAATTCCATTTCTGAGCCCATTTCCAAAGAAAATAAGGAGAAAACCCAGCACAGTTTCACTGTTTTCTTCTCGGTATACTTTAGGGAAAACAAACCCAGGCCTGAATCTTAACAAGGGTTGGCATTTTCTGAGGAGCTCAAGGGAACAAGGTCTTCCAAATGATAATAAGAAGGGGATAATCTTTGGGTCTCTTTTGCAAAACCTCAGCAGAAACACGGAATAATTTGCCACTCAAATGATTGCTTTGCCCTTCGAAGGGTGAAATCCAGCCCTGAGCAGGGGGTACCAAGCACACAAGTAACAGAAGCCTCATACCGCCTGCCCCCCTGGATAATGTCCCCCCCCAGGCTTGGATCTGGCTCTCGGTGGGACGGTTCCCACCAGGATCAACAGCGCAGGGTCAAGCCTCAGGCGGGACGTGGTGGGGGCGGGTGCTCGGGGATCTCTTATTCCAATTCATTCGTCACTGCAGCAATTTTGCAGCCAATTTGTCCTCTAAAAAAGCACCGGAACTTTTCTCTCTCTGGTTTCCCTCCTCCCGTGGCCTGGGTGCTGCTGATCTTCCTTCCCGTCGTTACTTCCTGACGCTTCTCCTGCTGGACGAGGTGGTGGTGACGGTGTAGGATTTGGAGCCCCCCCCCGAGGAGAAGCCGAGGGCCCCGCTGCCCATCCCTGCTCCCAGCCCGAGGCCTCCTCCGATTCCTCCGCTCAGGAACCCGCCGGAACTGGCGTAGCTGCCTCCACCGCTGGAGCTGACCACGGCTGTGGCAGAGAGAAGGAAACCAAAGCTGAGCTCCGCAATCACAGAAGCTTCATGGTTGGAAGGGACCTTTGAGATCATTGAGTCCAACCACAAAAAAACAAAAAAAAACAAAGAAACCCCCCACAAACAGATACAAACCAACAATCTCGGCCACTAGAGAATGCCCTGAAGTGCCAAGTCTACACGTTTCTTAAATACCTCCAGGGATGGTGACTCCACCACCACCCTGGGCAGCTCCAGGGACTCCGAACCCAGTTGGGCACCTCACAAAAAAGGGCATTTCTAAATGGGGGCAACCAGATGAAACCTCTCTACGATCTCCTGCAGAACACAGGGCCTGGGATGCTCATCCCTGGTTATGTTTTGGCCCAGAGGGTTTTATTCTCACACGTGTGAGGGCTGAGCAGCCCAGTTCCATCTCCATCACTCACTCTGGGACCCCCTGGGGCACGGAGAACCCTGTATCACAACGATCCAGCTCATCGCCTGGTGCACTAAAGAGGCTGTGGGCACGTGGTTCACCTCATCAGCGGCAATTAAGGTAATGAAAGGTAAAACCACTGGTTTAGAGCTGTAAACAGCACCTCCGAGACACCAGCATGTGCCCAACCCAGGCAAGGTGATGACACAACGCTTCCCAAGTTGGAAAGCCACCCTCTAACGTCACCCCTGCTCCAACTTCCAACCCAGGCATTAGTGCACCTTTTTCTCCACAGAAAAAACAGGAGGAAGGAACAATCAGTAGTCCCCCAAGTTAAATTTCATACAGATGAGTTAGAGCTGAGTTCTCCATGGAGCCAACAGCACCACCAACTTCTGTCTCAGGGGGCTCCCATTTAAGAAGAAGGGGTGAACTGGGCTGCAGAAGCCAAGGCAGGGTACTACGGGGCTCCTGCACAGACCCAGCTGGTCCCCACTTGCATTTTCCATGGGCACAGGGCTGCGTGTAAGGATTATAAATTATAAAAATCAACTCACAGATGTTGACGTTGCCAACTCCATCCCCAGCCAACCTGTTGGGGAAGAAAAACACAAAGGGAGAGGAAGGGTGAGACTGGGAGTTACTCAGTGTTCCCCCAGGGCCTCCGCGCGGGGAGGAAGACAATGGCAGTGAGTTATTACTGCTGTTGTAAATAATTCAGACAAGATAAGTGTGCCATCCAGCGCTTTGTTCTGGCCCTACATTTACAAGCTCTGTTATCACCTGCGGGGGGCTGAAAGAGCCCAGAGGCTCTGTCCTAATTCCACAGGGATTTGAGCCACCTGGAAATTTTCTGCCACAGCATCCAACAAATGATGGAAAACAACGTTGCGTATTTTCACCAAAAGGATCAACTTTTCCCCAGCATTTCTCAGCTTGGCTCTTCAGCCAAAGCATTTTTCAGGACCATAAACCGGTTTAAAATGCAAGGTTTTCTCTTCTATATTCCCCTGCAGGAACTGGGATTGGGCCCTCGCGATGTCCCCAGGCAAAGGGACCCACCTGCTCTCCTCTCCCTCCAGCAGCTTCCTGTAGGTCGCGATCTCGATGTCCAGGGCCAGCTTGACGTTCATCAGCTCCTGGTACTCGCGGAGCTGCCGGGCCATGTCCTGCTTGGCCTTCTGCAGGGCGGCCTCCAGCTCCTCCAGCTTTGCCTTGGCATCCTTGATGGCCAATTCCCCGCGTTCTTCGGCTTCGGCAATGGCTGCTTCCATCTTGGCGCGCTGCAGGGATGGAGCAGGGTACGTCAGTGGTGGTGGACACTACTACCCATGGACTTTTGGGATCTACTGGCCAGACCTGCAGAGCCCCAGAGCCATCTGCTCAACTTAGATCCCTAAAAGTTCACGCCTACAAATTATTTTGGCCACTGGATGGAGATGAGCCTGCAAAGGAAGCTCATCTCATCCCCAAGATCCGTTCCTCCAAAGGACAGACCCTATTTCTCTCCACCGGCTACACTTTCGGAAGACTTTCTTCAGGCAGTGCTCAGGTTCTCAGCCCACCCACACCCCACACAACAGCTCAACACTAAAAGTCAATGCCAGCTCCGGGTTTCTCTCCTATTACTATGATTCCATGATTACGCCTCGGAGCTTGTTGAGAGCCAGTTGGTCTCCACCAACCTTTGATGTGAGGCAAGCGTGGACTGGAGCAGACCTGCAAGTCAACAAACAACGAAAACCTACCCCAAAAGCATCCCTGTGGGGGCCACACCAAGCTGGCAGTCTAATACACAACCCCCAACCATGCCCCCTGCACCCCCAAAAAAGCCTCAGGTTGGGCAGGAAGGGCTCACAGAGAGCACATGTGCTTTGTGCTCTCATTCATTATTCAAAGGAGCTGCTCTGGGTCAGCTCTTTGCTTGGAAGTGTGTGTTGAAGCCTCCCTGCCCTGAAACCAAATAAACACAAACATGAGTCACAATGGCTTATCTCCAGCTTTTGTGCACCCTGGTTATTCAGAGCCAGTTTTCAGCCCCAAACCACATGGGGCTGAACCAGTGGAACCACTCACTGGTCTGGATTTCACCGGCCGTTTGATAAAGTGATAACAGCCCCTGCAGAAAGCAAACGGAACTCCCATACAGCTGAAAAACGTGCCCAAACATGGTGTTCCCTTCTGCAACAAAAAAAAAGGGGAGTGGACAAAGATCCCAGGAGCAAGAGGGTACGAGGAATGTGTGTGGTCGGGAGGCCACACACAGCCTTGCCCTTTGGAAACAGCCCTGTGTCCCCCACTTCTGCACTCCCAGGACACTGGAGGAGGTGTCCTCACCTACAGTCCAGTCACCCCCAAATTGTTCATAGAGGCGCCGTGTTCTCCCTGACACGCTGTGCTGCTGTTAAACCCATTGCTCTGCTCTGCAGGAGAGAGAAGAAGGGCAGCTCCTCACCTGGGCCTTGGCGTTCTCGATCTCCCCCTGCAGCCGCTGGATCATGCGGTTTATCTCCGAGATCTCGTTCTTGGTGTTGCGCAGGTCGTCTCCGTGTTTGCCAGCCGTGACCTGCAGTGCCTCGTACTGTGCCATAAATCAGTGGAAAAGAGAGGGACGGGGTCAGGCTGGAGATCAATCATCCCTCTAAAATCTCTCCCACTCATGCCACACGGGCACAGGCACTAAGAGAAGCTCTAAATGCCTTCCTCTCCCCCGTAACTCACCTTGCTCTGGTACCAGGACTCAGCCTCTGCCCGGCTCCGGTTGGCGATGTCCTCGTACTGTGCTTTGACCTCGGCGATGATGCTGTCCAGGTCCAGGTTTCGACTGTTATCCATGGAGAGGACCACGGAGGTGTCGGAGATCTGGGCCTGCAGCTCATTAAGCTCCTGCCAGTTGCATTAAAAACAATACCGTTAATCACTGCCGCTCTTTTGGAATCCAATTAAAGAGAGAATCGGAGAAAGAAAAAGGGAAAGGGAGGCCGGTAAGAAGAATTAAATCAAAACGTTCATTAATTAGAAGGAAAGCAACTGAATCACACAGCCTTGCAAAATGCAAAGTAAGAAATACCAGTAGAAACGGAGCTGCTTCTTATCACCCCCGTTTTGACAGCAAGGTTGGCTCACCCCACGCCGGAGATAAGAACCCAGCAGGAAACACTGTTCCAAGAAGCATCAGCTTCGCAGCAAAGCCAGGGCCAAATTCCACCACCCCACCCCAGGATGGACCAGTTCAATCAAGCTCTTATCTTGCAAATAAGGGCTAAGAAAAAGGTGGGGCAAGGAGCTTTCCTTTCCCTCTCTCACATACCAGCCCCAGCTGTAATACCCTGAGATCCCTTGGTTTCACATTAGCAGCATCAAAAAAAAATAATGCATGTCCTGGGTGCGTTTGCAATAAATCCATCTCACATCCCAGGTGACAATTCCCAGGATGTGCCCTTACTCAGGGGCTTATTTCTGCTTGGGCAAGGGAAGACACCACATCTCCATCCCCCTTCTCATCTCTGGAGACAGCACATTAACGCTCTCGGTTGCCCCTCGCCATCCTTCACCCACTGGTGGTGCTACACAACAGCAGCCACAACAAGCAGAAAGGACCTTACCGCCTCGTAGAGAGACCTCAGGAAGTTAATCTCATCTGTCAGCGCATCCACCTTGGCCTCCAGCTCCACTTTGTTCAGGTAGGCGGCATCCACATCCTAAAAAAAAAAGAGCAATAATCCATCCAGATTGCCGTGGCTTTGATGACTAAATGCACTCAGCCTTTGATGGCTTCAAAAACAACAGCCATGAGCCCATCAAGTTCCCCAAGTGCCTGCTCCTCATGTCCATCTGCCCAGGGACCCACCACGTCCTAAAAGTTATCCACCAGTGTATTACACCTTGCAGCTGTGCAGGAGCTCACACGATCTGTAGGGTCACCCGGGCCTGTCGGTCAGTTTGGACAGTTGGGGAGGTCTTAAGAAATGTCCCAAAGAAAGAAAGAGCCATAATCTGTGACATCCATGGGATCTGGCACTCCTTCCCAGCTTATACAATCATAAAATGGTTGGGGTTGGAAGGGACATTAAAGATCATCAGGTTCCAACCCCCCTGCCGTCGGGTCCGTGTTGTTTAACATTTTTATCAATGATAATAGACAGGGAGATTAAAGGCACCATCAGCAAGTTTGCGGACGATACCAAGCTGTGTGGTGTTGTCGATACACCAGAGGGATGGGATGTCATCCAAAAGGACCTGGACAGGCTGGAGAGGTGGGCCCAGGTGAACCTCATGAGGTTCAACAAGAGCAAGTGCAAGGTTCTGCACCTGGGCCAGAACAATCCTCGCCACCAATACAAACTGGGGGGTGAGGGATTGGAAAGCAGCCCTGAGGAAAGGGACTTGGGGGTTCTGGTGGACGAGAAGCTGGACATGAGCAGGCAGTGTGCAGCTGCAGCCCAGAAGGTCAATCCCATCCTGGGCTGCATCAAAAGAAGCGTTGCCAGCAGGTCCAGAGAGGGGATTCTGCCACTTTGCTCTGGTGAGACCTCACCTGGAGTATTGGCAACCTGGGCCAGGCTCTCACCACCCTCCCAGCCAAGAATTCCTTCCCCACATCTCAGCTCAATCTCCTAATTTTTGGTTTAAACCCCTTCCCCCTCGTCCTGTGGCTCCACTCCCCAAATACCACCCCTGGAAGGATCTAAAAGCCGTTGCTGAGGGACACGGGTCAGTGGTGGGTTGGTTGGTGTTGGGTTGATGGTTGGCCTTGATGAACTTAAAGGTCCCCTCCAACCCAGGGAAGGGGTGGAATCGCCAGAGAATCACAGCACGTTTTGGGTTGGAAGGGACCTTAAAGTTTATCCAGTTCCATCCCTTCTAGTGGCTGGGACATCTTCAATGAGACCAGGTTGCCCAAAGCCCCCTCCAACCTGCCCTTGAACCCCTCCAGGGATGGGGCAGCCACAGCTTCTCTTGCCAACCTGGGCCAGGCTCTCACCACCCTCACACCAAACAAGTTCTTCCCCACATCTCAGCTCCATCTCCCCTCTTTCAGTGTCAAACCCTTCCTCCTCATCCCATCGCTCCCCTCCCTGATCAAGAGTCTCCCCCAGCTCAGGTAATCTCCAGGACACCCACCTTCTTGAGCACCACAAACTCGTTCTCTGCTGCCGTGCGCCTGTTGATTTCGTCTTCGTACCTGCCAGGAAAAAAACAAAAAGGGGGTTGGTGGGAAGTTAGAGACTGGGTAGAAGGGAAAAAACATCCCAGTGAAGAGTTACCCCAATTCCCTTTTCTCTCCCTCCATTTCTCTCTCTGAACCACCTCAGCCCAGGCTGTGACATCCCCCCACCAGCCCCAGGGGGGTTTGCTGCCCCAAGTGATGTTCGCACAAGAGGTACCAGCTGAACCCCGCAGTTCCAGGTACTGGTGGGATGAGGTGATGCCCTGAAAGCTGTTCTGGTCCACACCACCACCCCCCGGAAAGCTATTCCCACCCACGCTTTCCCACATTCCTCAAAATTCCCTGCACTTGAGGAGATTTCTCCTCAGCCGGGGAGAGCTGTGGGACGGTCCTCAGGGTCCCAGCTCTTCCACTTGACCCTTGAGAAGGCAAATCCAAAGGCAGAACAGATTCAAGCAGGTTCAACAAACTCCTCTACGCTGACCAAAGCACTTGCTGAAGCTGCTTTCCCTGTTACAGACATTTGAGAGGACCACAACGATGCTGAGGGGCCTGAAGCATCTCTTTTAGGAGAAAAGGCTGAGGGACTTGGGGCTTTTTGGTCTGGAGAAGAGAAGGCTGAGGGGGGATCTCATCAAGGGTGGTGTCAGGAGGATGGGGCCAGACTTTTTCCAGTGGTGCCCAGTGACAGGACAAGAGGAAATGGGCACAAACTGGAACATAAGAAGTTCCACCTAAACACAAGGAGGAACTTCTTGACTTTGAGGGTGGCAGAGCCCTGGAAGAGGCTGCCCAGGGAGGTGGTGGAGTCTCCTTCTCTGGAGACATTCAAACCCACCTGGATGAATCCAACCTGCTCTGGGTGGGATCTGCTCTGGAAGGGAGGTTGGACTAGATGATCTCCAGAGGTCCCCCCACCCCATGTCATTCTGGGAGAGCATTTTGCAGGTGCCAATCTCCTGCCACCCAAGAGCCAAGTATAACTTCTCTCATTCTGCACAAAGTGATGCTCCAGAGATACACAACCATCTCCTACAGGCTACATCCCTTCTGGAGGTGTTTTGTGGCTGTAAATGAGCCAGATCCTAAGCAGATAAAAATCATGCTCCATTGCAGGAGTTCAGGGATTTGTACCATTTGCAAGTCTGGATTCAGAGCCTGCCCTTACACCACCCCGTGAGTGGTGTACGAAACCTGTATGAAACCTGCATGAAACCTGTATGAAACCTGACAACCACTCGAGGAACCACTTTCTCTGCCTGTTTTGGAACAGCTGTTGCCAAAGCACAGCACAACAAGAACACTGCTGTTTATTCATACATGGTTAGCGCCGTAATTTGCCTTCCAAAGCGATAAGTGCTTCACTCTCAACAGCCTTCGTGTCCTTCCCCTCCTGCTCTGCGCTGGAGCCGTGCCCAGCCACACCAGCACAAACGGACATTGTCCCTTTTGAGGTCAATAAACAGCATCCGTTGCTATTGCAGAGTCATAACAAACAGCATTTGTTGCTATTGAAGAGTCATACATGACCTGGAAATTACAGGATGGTGCCTGCCGGTGTCAAAAGCCTGAATTCACAGAATCATGGAATTGTCGGAGTTGGGAGGGACCTTCTAGAGATCATCCAGTCCAACTCCCCGGCCAAAGCAGGGTTGCCCAGAGCACATCACTCAGGAGCATCCAGGTGGGGCTTGAAGATCTCCAGAGAAGGGGACTCCACACCCTCCCTGGGCAGCCTCTGCCAGGGCTCTGCCACCCTCACCCCAAAGAAGTTTCTCCTCAAATTTGAGTGGAACTTCCCATGTCCCAGCTTGTGCCCGTTGCCCCTCGTCCTGTCCCTGGGAACCACTGGAAAGAGTCCGGCTCCATCCTCCTTCAACCCACCCTTTAGATCCTTGGAAGCATTAATAAGGTCTCCCCTCAGCCTTCTCTTCTCCAGGCTGAAGAGTCCCAGCTCTCTCAGCCCTTCCTCATCAGAGAGATGCTCCAATCCCTCCAGCATCTTTGTAGCCCTTTGCTGTCCCCTCTCCAGCAGTTCCCTGTCTCTCTGGAACTGGGGAGCCCAGAACTGGATGTAGTATATTCCAGTTGTGGTCTCCCCAGTGCAGAGCAGAGGGGCAGAATGACCTCCCTAACTCCACCAAACTGTTCAAAGAGCCGAGAAATCACCGATTATTCCCCAGCAGCTCCCCGAGGTGCCTTGGGACGCCCAGTGCACCCTCACACCTTGGCGTGCCCCACACCAGCCACATAGACAGCCCCAGTGCTGGCTGCTCCAGCCCTTCCTTCCTCCAAACTGCACTCTCCATCAAGGCACCGATGGAATCGGGGACCAAATTTCATCCCCTGGAGCCTCAGGCATAGAAATCTCCTCCCCTACCCTATATGTGAACCGAGAATTACCGTGGCAATTGGGACATATGGAAAAGAGGCAGCAGACACGCTCATCTTTCAGATGTTCTACTAAAAAGATGAGATTTTCTTCACATAAAAGGGGAAAAGCAGGTTCTAAACTCCACTCACTATGTCCTCACCCCCTCTGCTTGCTGCACTGGCATCTTTGGCTCCTAATTGCTGCGCCCCTTCTCTTGGGGTTTGGTTTTAGATGAAGCTGGAGGGATGGACATGCCCCTGTGCATTCCCCTGTGTCCCTGCGTTGGTGGGACATGCCGCCAAAATTAGGGCTGTAGCCCCTCCGGGTGCAGCCCAGCCCCTCGCCGCTGCCTCCCAGGGACACCGGGAAGGAGCGTTGGGAAGAACCACAGAACCTTCATGGTTGGAAGGGACCTTTGAGATCATCGAGTCCAACCATACACACACAAAAAAAACCAACCAAAAAACCAAACCACACAAGAAAAAACCAAAATAAAAACCCAGCAGGGCTGGGGGAAACATCAACCCCGGGCACCTCCTTGGGAGTCACTGGCCACTGACTCCCCCTAAACACACCGTGGGGATTTTCAGAGCTGTTTGTTTTCAGTTCCTGCTCAATCCAGTTTGCCAGCTCCCTCTTTCCTTTCTTTTTTTAATTCTTTTTTTTTTTTTTTTTTTTATTAAAGGCATTTTCCTGTACAGCTGGGTTGGGCACAGGCGGGGACAAAGGCTACTTTCTTCACGGGACTCCTCCCAAGCCACACGATTTGGACTGAGAAGTCGTTTAAAAATTGCAGGTCTCCTGCTGCGTTACCCACCCACAGACGAAGCAGCAGCTTCACCCACCACCTGCTGACATGCTGGGCTCCCCTGGGGCTCCTCCAGACCCCAACGGCCACCTCCAACCCAAGGAGAAGGCCCCAGAGCAAAGCCAGGAGGATGGAGCCACTGAGGGGACAAGGTGCCAGGAACAATGAGCGACCCAGGCAAGAAGAATCCAGGTCCAGATGGATTCTAGACCATCTTCCCTGGACCAGACACCTAACTCACGGCTGGAAAAACCACCTCCTTCCTTCCCTAATAGAAAAGCTGGGGCCATCTCTGCCAACCAGCCAGCTCAACTGCACCGTTAGATGGGAAGATGATACGTTACTTGGTCTTGAAATCCTCAACAAGATCCTGCATGTTCTTCAGCTCGCCCTCCAAACGCCCTTTGTCACTCAGCAGCCCGTCCAGCTGCCGGCGCAGGTTGCTGATGTACGTCTCGAACATGGGAGCGATGTTGCTCCGGGCGGTTTTTTGGTCCTGGAGGAGGCTCCATTTGGTCTCCAGCATTTTGTTTTGCTGCTCCAGGAACCGGACCTGGAAAGCAACCAAAGGGTCATTTGTGAAAGTGGGAGGAAGGGGGAGCTGCCACTACGGAGTGGGGATCCTGGGAGATGGCATCTGAAGAATTTAGGTCGCTCATAGGAAACACCTAAACCCTGGAGGGTGATAAAAACCCTGAGGGAGCACCCCTGCTCTGGGACTTGGTTTGTGTCTTTAAGGCTTTGTAGGAATTAAAGATAAGGAGGTTCTGACACTTGACAGAAGCCATCCACAGACCTCAAAGTTACGCAAACCCCAGGTCTGGATTCCTTGCATTTTGAGGATGCCAGAGCTGAAGTTTACACAGGACACGGGATCAATCAGTGGAAGAGACAGGTACAGGGCAGCGCAAACACACGCAACAAGCTCTGACCTATGTCAAGCTCTGGTCTATGTGGGCCAGTCCTCCACCAGAAGCCCCCTCCCCCTGAGTTTGGAGGTGGTATGTTGGGTGCAGAATTGATCTTTAAAGCCTGCACCCACGTTCTGGGCAATGCCAGTGAAATTCTGGGCAATGGCAGTTAAATAAAGGGGGTACAACAACAAGGAAAAACCCTTTCCTGACAGCCAACTCTTATTAAAGAGTTACTGGATTGCATCAGGCAAATCACACCATGCTTTCCAGGACCTGATCCTGTGCCCATTTGTGACACACACCCCCCCTGCACCGGGTTAAATGAGCTTTGGGTTAGAGCTGCTTTTAATCAGCAGGTCCACGGAGCTGTCAGTCACGCCAACATCTCACCTTGTCGATGAAGGAGGCGAATCTGTTGTTGAGGGTCTTGATCTGCTCCTTCTCCTCCTTCCGCACCCGCTGGATGTTGGGGTCGATCTCCAGGTTGAGGGGGGTCAGGAGGCTCTGGTTGATGGTCACCTCCTGGATGCCCCCAGGGCTGAGCGCCCCACCGAATCCCATGCCCCCGTAGCCGTATCCAGAGCGGACGCTGTAGGAGCTGCCACCTCCAAGGGAGATCCGCTTGTTGGTGGAGCCCAGGTTGTAGAGGCTGGAGCTACCGAAGCCACCGGCTCTGCTCAAGCCGGGACCTCCTCCGACCCCCCGGGTGGAGGAGACGGTGCTGACCCGCACTTGGCTGATCCCCGGGACGGCCGCCGAGCGAGAGCTGAAACTCACGGACCGGGACATGGTTGCTCCGAGGGGCGTTTTCAGAGTCTCCCACCTTTCAAAAGCTGCGGGAAGCTGTGCTGGAGACCAGGAGGAAGTGAGCCTGTTCCCGACTGCTCCTCTCCTTTTATCCGTTAGAAGAGCTGGGCTTGGCCCAAGGGCAAAAGAAGGATCATTTTACTGCCGGGGAGGGCTGGGTGTGCCTGGCCGCCTTCCCACCCCCCCCCCCCCCA